CGCAGAAAGCAAACACTTTGAGCCCTGAAGATGATCTCAATAAAGATCGAAACGTTGACACTATAAAGAAAATGTTTTTCGGAAACCTACATAACACCAGACCGCATCTCACGATTTCTGAATAATAATTGCTTACTTGGCAGAACCGTTATTTTTTTATATTTATATTTTGTTCCTATTAGATTATTTATTCAACATAAAATTTTTAATTAATTGGAGATCGTGAGGTGCGGTCTGGTGCTACGTGGATTTTAGAAAAACATTTTCTTTATCATGCCAACGTTTCGATCTTTATTGAGATCATCTTCATTAAACACCACACATAAAATTGTTGGTTTAACTTGAAAAGTTTGAAAGTATATTACACATTACGAATATACATACTTAAAAGTCTAATGATGATGTTTTTTTTTTTACCTTTATTCTAAAGGAATGCGGTTTAGAACTTTATCCATCAGGTTTAATTGATTTTGTAAAAGCTAAATTTGGTTTGGAAGTCATTTGATTTGTGAATATTTCATGTTCGTGTAATGATAGAAAAAAAATTCAACAGAAATGAAAGTAAGTGCGAGTAAAATTTTATGAAAACCATTTATCTATAATAAATCTAAGCGTGTGCCCAACTGGATCTAAAGTACTTTATCTTCTCATAACATTTACGCCATGCTAAATCTAAACAACAATATTTTTCCTGCTGCTGCACATAGATTCGAGAATATTTTTGAAAATATTGTAACTCAGCGACTGTCGTAATAAAAATTAACATTGTCTGATCAAATTATTTTGACTTTAGTTGACTCGAATGCTTGTAGACAATAACTATGATGTCGGCGTGTCTGACATTTTTACCGAAGGCCCCTCTAATTATGATTAATTTAAATGATTATTTTTATATCGTGGTACCTGATCTGTGTAAAATGTAATTAATTAGTGGATTTAACAAATTTAATTTTAATAAATTAAAACTGGCTTGATTTTTTGTTGTCTATGTCCGGTTATAATGTTCACTGTTTGTTGGGTTGAAAAAATCAAATCAAATTTAATACGGAATTGTTAACTTGTGTATTGTTTCTGTTGACCTGTGTCATGGGTGGGTTTTCCACGATGTGAAATGTATGAACTGGCTTGAATTGTAAGTCGTCTTCATACTGGTTTCGGCGAACTTGGGCCGATATAGCTTTGTAGGTGGATTGTTTTTACTGTTCAATTGTAAAAGCTTAACTTCTGTCATTGTTTGGTTTGGTACAGCTGGTATCGAAATCGGGCTTTTTTTCCCTGTTCCCCTCGGCCCTTCACCTCCTCTTTTGATTTTAATTAAACCTCTGAACTCCCGGAGATTTGGAAATATCTAACGCACTGTCGGTGACACTTTGAAGAAGGTCCGTAAAAATCGACTTTAATCTTCTCCCTTTTTGACCGAATTGTTTGGCATCTAGATTACATACATATGACTGATGGACTATCCTAAGGAGTTGAAAACTGCATGAAGTCGATCATTCACAAACTTAATTTCTTCAGCGTTTAAGCATTCAAATTTGACTTTTGGATAAGTTCTATTTATAAATCGCTTTGACCATCCAGCTAGTCAATTCTCCATGGAGTGAGGTATTTTGAACTATTTAGAGCGATTACCACTAACTAAAATAATTACTATTATAATTTACCCTAGACAAAATGTCTTATTTTCTAGTTAACTCACTACATTTTTTTAATGGATAATGAACTCCATCATTACCAAAAATGATGAACGCGTAGATCTTTTATTGGATTATGGAGTTATGCATAATGTATTCTACAAAAATTGTCGATTTTAAATGTTTTATGTTTAGCATGGAATTGCTTCTATATTTTAAACGTAAAACTCCAACGTAAATAACATTCCACTTTATACTGACCGAAATTGACTTCCCTGACGAAAAGAGGTCTTCTCTAGTTTCTCCGAAGTTTACTAATCTCTAAAATATTTCTTCAGTGATGGACGACTTCGGCAAAATGCCTGGTTAAACAAAAATAATTGAATTTCAATGAATTTCTATTACACTTGACCGAAGTTTATTCCCATCGAAAAATGACACGACTAAAGTCAAGTCGTCAATAGTTTGACTGATTTAAGCATTTTCTCTCTCTCTCTTTAAAAAAAGACATTAACTGTTGGATCCCCTTTAAAAGGAAGAATAATTCCGGGCTATATTATGTTAATTTTTTCGTATATGTGAGACAACACTCGGCGCAATTTGAAAGGCAATAAGGCCACTCCTTTTTGGGTACAAAAGGGTTGTATAATTTCTGCAAACACAGAGAAATTGTTCTGACAGTAAAAACGTAAATTGTTGAATTATACGCAGTAGTTTGTTGGTTAGTTGTTTTCTAACAAAAGTAATCCACCGAAATTATAAATGAATATTTATTAAACCTTTTAGTAGATTGATTTATCTTAGGAGGAAAGGATTTTTATTGTATTTATTCCGTGCAGCGAGTTCTGCATGTTGTGTGAAGTGATATCCATGATGGCGTTTTGTAATGCAAGCAATTAATAGATTTTGTGCTCTTCAGATATTATTTTTTTTAAAGTTACCTGCAATATTGACCGAATTGTGACTGAGGCGTGTTGACCACCTTCTCTTCCTTGCTTTCCAATACTTCTACTACTAGAATTAAAATTAGAAATCCGAATTTCCTGACCGATTGAACAATTATCGTCTCATCTTTCGATTCCGATGACTGAACACGTCAACACGTCAGATATTCCTCGGCGCAAAAAATAAACAGTGGGTAAACAATTTACTTCGAGGGGGCGAGGAATTTAGATTTGTATCAACTTTCCGTGGTCTTTTGTTGAAGTTATCCACTATCAGTACTTATTTTTTCCACTTGCTTGCCTGACAACGAGACTTTATTAAGTTTATTGTCACTTCCAGCTTTGTTTTCAGTTTACAAATATGCTTTAAAAGAGTGTTTTATAAATTTTAAGAGTTATTTATTTTAAAAATAATAATAATAATTTAGCCGCTAAAATGCCCTTAAAAATTAATAATAATAATGTTATTTTAAACGGATATTAAAATTTAAGAAATAAGTCTGTTGGAAAAAAGCATCTTGTTGAATAAAAATAAATAGCCTGGTTTCAGTCCTATCGAAAAAACAAGATGAGAGTAAAGGAAATGGAAAAAAAATTAAACATAATTTCAATATTTTTGCCCTCCCGTTTTCCCTAAATATTTTAGACTTTTCCTTAAGTTTAGATCTAAGATGATTTAAATGATAAAAGAACAGAAAATTGTGAAGGCATAAAAATATGGATTGAGTTATTATTGTTTTTAATGACTTCATTCCATCGAGGAATTAAAAGTTATTTGTTTAAATTTTATATGGGCAATTTCCAGGACTCATTAAAACCATTTCATCATTTAATTTTTATTGAGAAATCGATTTCTCGGGCTCTTGCCCAATTCGTTTTTTCCCCGTGTACATGTGTCAACTTTTACTGTTCTTTAAATTTGAAATGTCATATTCCACTGAGTATAATTTTGTTTTAAATCGAACAAAAGAGAGAAACTACATTTAATTAAATTAGAACTAAGTCCATATTTAATTATAATACGTTGAACAAAATGAAAGAAATTAGATAATAAGTTCGATGTATGGCTCTTAATAAATATTAACATTTGTATGAGATTGAGATATTTTTTTTTAGCAGTCTATTAAAAAAAGAGAAAATGTTAAACTTTCAGTGCTATGTAGAATAAGGTTCATATTTTACCGAAAATTTGAACGAGAAAACAGAAAAAAGTCTTAAAAATGTCGGCTGATTTGTTTTTAGTATTTTTTGAAACAAAGTATTTTAATTTATCAGTTTATTTTTAATACGTTTTGAAGACTATGCTGGATAGAAAGGGATAAATTTGATAATCAGTTAGATTTAGCGCGGTTACTAAATTTTTAATTAAATATCGACGAGATCTCATATTTCATGTTTTAAGGAGTCCATTAAAAAATGAGATAATAATTATATATTATGATTATAATTATGATTGTACATAACTACTCTGTTGAATTTTACTGATAAAATGTAAAAAACACGAGAATACAAAATAACTATCTGAAAAACGCGGTCTGATGTATTATTAATATTATTTGAAAAAGCTATTTAATATTGTTTAGAAAAATGATATAAATTTTACGTTCTTTGTGCAAGAATTAAATTTTGGACAGCTTTATTTGTTTAAAGGATAATAAAGGGAGAAATTTCACCATCGGTTATAGAACGCAAATTTTATTGTATAAATTTGTTTTGAAGGTTTAAAAAACAAAACTGTCTTTAAATCTAACATCGCTAGTAGCCCTTCGAAAATAGAGAAAAACTTCAAAGTAAGATATAGGCGGCAATCTGAGATTTCAAATTTTACCGTCTTAAATTATAAAAAGCGAAAAATCTTATAGTCTGAAGATTTTTTTGTATTATTCGTCTGTTGATTCAAGATCGTTTCTTAAAAGAATTTCAGCGAAAAAGAGAGGATCTTTGTAGTTACAATATTTATGGGCTTGTGTTATGTATTCAAATAGATACAGAGGGATCTGAAACCTCGAGAGCTAACGTCTACGTCTTTAAAAAGAATTTTTTTTTAGATTGAACAATTTTGACTGGTTAAAAATAGAGAAGTAGTTTTGTCCTTTAAGGAAATTAATAAAAAAAAGAGGATATATTCCGAAACATGTATGGTTTGTATCACGCGTTAAAATAAATAAGGAGGAATTTGAATTTTGAAATTTTGCGTTTTCGTCCGTAGAAAAGATAAATTTTTATTGTCTGAAATTTTTTGACCGGTTTAAAAAAATCTAAAATGTAAAAGAAAGTAATTTCGTGAACAGAAAATTTTTGCTCTGCTGTTGTAAATTTTTTCTAACGTTTCAAAATATTTTAAATGTTCAGTTGGATGATTTATTTGGTCTTTTGTATAAGGGAAAATAAGAATTATGACTTTTTTTGCCCTGAAATTTACCGTGTACTAGGGAGGGTTGTGTTGTCGGCTGAGTGGTCGGAACATGCTGCCACTGAACACTGGCACTCTGTGTTGACTGGGAGCAAGAAGGCCCCACTTCGTGCCGACTCATGCAAGCGAGCATGCGCTCCAGCGGAATTCTAAAATTAAAATATATATAGATAGATGGCCAGTGTGCATTTTACAGTTCGACTCTGTCCAGGTGTTAATTGTGTTTTGAACCAATCCGATGGAGCAGACGGGCGGACCTCGGAAGGCCGTTATACTTCGGAGGATGGCCGGTCCACTCCACTCCGGGACTAATTCATTTAGTTGTGGATGTAAATCTCACTATGCTTTGTCTCGGTTTTTTTCACCAGGGATAATCTGAGTCTTTCTTGAACCGGATTACATCTTTGGGCTTTGCACTACGCAGGTCAATATAGAAGTATAGGTGTATTGTTTTCCTCTCTGCTCTAGTATCTCGGCCTCTTTCTGTAATCTGCCCAATTTTGTTATGGCCGGCCTCTTTTTTAACTTCCTGTACCCAACTACTCTTTATCTTAGAACTCATCCTGCTTAGACGATGGAACCATTTAGATTTCCTTACGGTGTGTACAATTTATTAGTTATCTTCTCGTTTCGTTTGTTGTTTAAATTGTTTTCTATGCACGAATAATTTGGATGAGTGAAATGAAAAAAAAAATGGAAAAGAGTGTTAGAGTCCTTAGAGTAATTAGTAACTGAATATGTCTTCAAAAAAATTTGAAACCATCGATTACAAATTTAAATATGCCAATTTGTGGATATGTTTATGATTGTTTTGCCTTGGTAATAGCCACAAAATAAGTCGAAAGCTTGTCAGATAAAAATTGAATTTGTTTTTTCATTCATGAATCCAGATTATTTATTTGTTATCTTAGCTCTATATTTTTTTATTGTACACTTTCACTTGGACCACAAAATGCCACAATTTGATCATTGCCATGAATTATTCAGAAATCGTGAGATGCGGTCTGGAGTGATGTAGGTTTCAGAAAAACATTTTCTTTATCGTGCCAACGTTTCGATCTTTATTGAGATCATCTTCATGGCCTGGGATTTACAAACATTGTTTACATTTAACAAATACATTTCGGATGTGGAAAAGTGAATTTATACAATGCAAAATATATTTTTTATATTCAATCAAAATATTTCAATCTCAATCAAATGATCTCAATAAAGATCGCAACGTTGGCACGATAAAGAAAATGTTTTTCTGAAACCTACATCACACCAGACCGCATCTCACGATTTCTGAATAATTATCGATTAACGGTCACCAATCACCACGCATTGCCATGAATCTTTACCATTACGTTTATGTCAAACTAGAAGTGATCCGAGGTGCTAGAATTCTGTCAAGAAGTAATCTTTAAGTAGTGATTTTTTTTATTCTAACAGGCACATAAAATCTAAAGGTCAACAAAAATGTCAGAAATTGTACATTAATTGTTTTGTTGTTTTATCACTATATACGAAATGTAATTTTTTACACATTTTGTTTTGTTTTTCTTTTTAAAAGCCGTCTACTACGTTATGCTTTCTATATTTAGTACTCTTATCTGATGAGATAATGTTGACCTCCGATCTTAATAATGTTTACACATTACAATTGTGCCAGGAGATTTAAATTCCATTTTTGCCCAAGGTGAAAAGTTTGCGCATACAATATTCGTTTAGGTTCTCTCTCTCTCTCTCTCTCTCTCTCTCTCTCTCTCTCTCTCTCTCTCTCTCTCTCTCTCTCTCTCTNCTCTCTCACTCACTCACTCACTCACTCACTCACTCACTCACTCACTCACTCACTCACTCACTCACTCACTCACTCTCTCTCTCTCGCTCTCGCTCGGTCACTCTCACTCACTCTCTCTCACTCTCACTCACTCTCTCTCACTCTCTCTCACTCTCTCTCTCACTCTCTCTCTCTCTCGCTCTCTCTCACTCACTCTCTCTCTCACTCAACTCTCCCACACCATTCCTCCCTCCTGTTTTTCGAATATATTTTTGAAATTTGTCGGGTTTTTTTAATTTGAATATCAAACAATATTCATTCTTTCGTTACCCCTCTCATTCTATCTATCTACCGTGGGCCGTCCGAAGAGATAAATTTTCATCATCCGGGCTGTAAATCATATTACTGAATTTTCTTCATCATCCTTTCAGAAGTGATTTATTTCATGCTTATATGTTATGTTAAGCACATATGGATTACAGTAAATCGTTAAAATTTACATATACCATGGTTACGGTGTAGATTGTTCATGTCGCTAGTTTTGTTTGTTTAGTTATGATGTTTAATTTTATTTTTTAAGACTTATTATATAGTTTGTCGATCATATTATAGGTATAACTACAAGTATTAACCATTAATATCACAAGAATTCTCTTAACTAATATATTTCTAAATATAAGTATGTAATATTTATACATTATTATTGTGAATGGAAAAAATTGATTCTTAATTGTAAAGGCATAAGGCATGTAAAGAATTATACCCACTCAGAAATATTAAAACATACTTTTTTTTCTATTTATTGCATGAACCAAATACGTAATACACATTCCATCCCCATAGGATAAAAATTGACTATTTTATACCCATAAATATTTTTTCTCTCACCACAATAGGATATAGGAATAAAACGTTACAGAAATCTCGACTCTCAGTAGAATTAACATAATAATTTAGCATGATTTAACATTTTAAGTTTCGTATAAATGGGAAAAAATTAGGGGAAAAATTGTTTTTAAGAGCAAACTGAATTGATTTTATTTTCAAATTCTTTCATTTTTAATACAGTTAATATAAATTTCAATTCGCTACAATATTTAATTATACAATTATACAAAATAAATAGCATTTCTTTTCTGTCTTATCTGGAAAAAAATTTCTGTTGGTAACAATACGATTTTGAAATAGTCCAAGGAAGAAATGCATGTGTCAATTACTTCTTTTGTACATAGAGAATGTTTTTCGGAATGTATATTTTCGTTGTTTATCGGTCGTGTTTGAACGATATCGGCTTGATCGAAGTCATTGGCCTATACATTTCTATTGGGTCGTTTCGTATGAAATATAACCAAATATAAGCAGTTTATACCTTTCGCGTTTTGAATTATCTTATGACTGAATTGCGCTATTGCAACAAACCTCACAGTAACAAAGACACTTTTATTTAAAAATAAAATATAATACGTACAATAACAATATTTTTTATTAATTATTCAGAAATCGTGAGATGCGGTCTGGTGTGATGTAGGTTTCAGAAAAACATTTTTTTTATCGTGCCAACGTTTCGATCTTTACTGAGATCATCTTCAGGGCCTGGGATTTACAAACATTATTTACATTTAACAAATACATTTAGGATGTGGAAAAGTGAGTTTATACAATGCAAAATATATCTTTTATATTCAATCAAAGTATTTCTACTCACTCAAAGTGTTTGTCTTCTGTGTAATTGTGCCATTCTTGCGTGTCGAGGTGAGAGTGCCGGTGAGATTTTGCTGTTTTATGTTATATACGTGGATTTGAAGGGGTGGGGAAGGAAGTCGTTATAGAATGACATTTATGTATAAGGCGTCGGCTTCTTTGAGGTGAAAAGAGCCGACGAAGGGAAACAATGTGTTGGTAATGGTTCGGCCAGATTATCCTTTCAGGATTATATAGAAAGGGATAAATAGGAAAAGGAAATCTAAATTGTTGGACAATTAGACAATTAGATTTTTTTTTATCCTACGCCAGTCTTTAGCCTTCAGGCTACCCGACTCCGCGTAACCCAATAAATTTTCGTCTGTCGGCTGTACTGTTTTTTTTTTGCACTAACCGACTCCCCGACGCCTGCCATAGCTTCAAGTGGTCGTAGTCCATTTCACCTTGGCCGCAAAGCATACAGGGGTATCCGCCACTCCGATCCCGAACAGATGTTTATTGAGTTAGTCCTGCCCCGTGGTCACCCGGAAACATGCAACCGCCAAATCCCTTCTTAGGTCAGATGGTAAGCTATAATTCCTCAGACTTCCTTCTGCCGCCTGGGAGCGTCTTACCTGACCTTTCAATTTAAAGGGTTTTTGCAAAATTCTTCTGGCTGAATAGAACGTTAACCCTATCTCGCCGGTCTTTTCGAGCTAAAGCATCCGCCCTCTCGTTTCCGTGCAATCCGCAGTGGCTGGGAATCCACTGAAACACTATTTCTTTTTCATCTGACTCGGCTTTATTAATCAGTGAGAGGCAGTTGATTACATCAGGGGTGCATACAGTTAGGATCCCTATTTTACGCAGAAATTGCTGCTTGAGGATCAACTAGGATTACTAACTTATTTTCAGCTCGGCCGTTAATCCAAACGAGGGCAAGATATATGGCCCTGATCTCCCCATCGAAGTTGGACGAAACTCTACCAACTGACCTGAAGTGCCTATGTAAGAATAAACCCCGGCTCGTACATTTCTATTTGCTGTTGTAGCAGATCGTTTGAAATATGCGCTCAAGAGGGTGAATGATATATGACAGCGATTGTTTCCAATGTCGGTGCTTTTAGCTCCCATTCTCGCGTCGTGCTCTTGTTTACTTTGGAAATCAACCCTAGCATGCACTTCACTTTGATAGTATTTTCTATTTTAGATCTGGGCAGAAAAAACGACTCTATTCTCCATCTCCAGCCCATTACTGATGGTAATTTCTTCATCCCCGTCGAAGAAGCTATGCTGCGTTTTTAGTCTTTTGCGAGGCCCAATAATCGATTTCTAGTCTTTTTAGTCTTTCGAACGTGTTGATTGCTATCCTTTCTCTGCGCAGCTCAAGACTTTCTTGATTGCTCTGTATTTTCATGGCTGGGGGAGTTGAATGTGGCCTACCGATGATTACGCGCAATGCTTTTTTGTCGCAACCGATGCAGTAATTAGCAGTTCCCACCGTACTCTAGAGTTGGGCGGACATAAGTTGTATAAGACATCCTAAAGTACCTCTTGCGCACACCCCATTTTTTCTTAGTTAATCTATTGAGTAGTCGGATTCTGTTCTCTTCTTTTGTTGCTAACTTTGCAGTGTCCAGTATGCGAAGGTAATTGGCTTCTTCTGTAAGTCTTAGGTTTTCGGAACCGAACCTTAGGGAGACTTGATGGC